AACATAGATGCCAAAATACTCAACAAAATTCTAGCAAATTGGCTCCGGCAGCACATCAGAAAGATCATACACCATGACCAAGTAGGATTTATTCTAAGAATGTAAGGATGGTACAATATCCGTAAATCAATAAACGTGATACATCACGCCGAGACCGGTTTGGCTCAATGGGTAGAGCGTCGGCTTGGGGACTGAAGGGTCCCAGGTTCGGTTCTGGTCAAGGGCATGTACCTTGGTTGCGGGCATATCCCCGGTAGGGAGTGTGCAAGAGGCAGCTGACCGATGACTCTCTCATCGATGTTTCTAACTATCTCTCTCCCTTCCTCTCTGTACAAATTCAATAAAATATATTTTAAAAAAATGTGATACATCACAAACAAATTGAGAAATAAAAATCAGATAGTCATATAAGTTGACGCAGAGAAAGCATTTGATAAAATCCAACACCCTTTCCTGATAAAAACTCTCAACAAGGTGGGAATAGAAGGATCATTCCTCAACATAATAAAAGCTATATATGATAAACCCACAGCAAACATCATACTCAATGGGCAAAAACTAAAACCGTTTCCTCTAAGAACAAGAACAAGACAGGGATGCCCACTCTCACCACTCCTGTTTGACATAGTACTGGAAGTACTAGCCATTGCAATTAAGACAAGAAGAAGAAATAAAAGACATCCAAATTGGAAAAGAAGAAGTAAAGTTGTCCTTATTTGCAGATGACATGATATTGTACATAAAAAAAAACAAAAGACTCCATCAAAAAACTAATAGACTTAATAAATGAATTCGGCAAAGTAGCAGGATACAAAATTAACGCCAAGAAATCTATGGCATTTCTATAATATACACCAATAGTGAACTTACAGAAACAGAGACTGAAAAAGCAATCCCATTTATCATCGCACCAAAAAAGCTAAGATACCTAGGAATAAACTTAACTAAGGCGGTAAAAGACCTATACACGGAAAACTACATGACACTGAAAAAAGAGATAGAGGAAGATGTAAACAGATGGAAGAACATACATGTTCATGGATTGGTAGAATCAACATCATCAAAATGCCCATACTTCCCAAAGCAATTTATAGGTTCAATGCACTCCTCATTAAAATATCAACGGCATACTTCACAGACCTAGAAAGAACTCTCCAAAAATTCACCTGGACCAAAAAAAAGACCCCGAATAGCCACAGCAATCCTGAGAAAGAAGAATAAAGTAGGAGGGATCTCAATACCAGATTTCAAGCTGTATTACAAAGCCACTGTTCTCAAAACAGCCTGGTACTGGCACAAGAACAGACACATGGAATAAAATAGAGAATCCGGATATTGATCCAAACTATATTCAATTAATGTTTGATAAAGGAGGTATGAATGTACAATGGAGTCAAGAAGACAGTCTCTTCAATAAATGGTGTTGGGAAAATTGGACAGATACGTGCAAAAAAAATGAAACTAGATCACCAACTTACACCATACACAAAAATAAACTCAAAATGGATACAGGACTTAAACATAAGACGGGAGACCATAAAAATACTAGAGGCATCCACAGGTAGCAAAATCTCTGATATATGCCAAAAGAACTTCTTCACTGATACTGTCCCTAGAGCAATGGAAGCTAAAGAGAAAATAAACAAATGGGACTACATCAAAATAATATTTTTTTTTACAGCAAAAGAAACCATCAACAAAACAAGAAGAAAGCCCACTGTATGGGAGAACATATTTGCAAATGTTATCACTGATAAAGGTTTAATCTCCAACATCTACAGACAGCTTATACAACTAAATAAAAGGAAGATAAATGATGCAATTAAAAATGGACAATGGACCTAAATAGAATATTTTCAAAAGAAGACAGAAGGAAAGCCAAGAGGCACATGAAAACATGCTCACTAATTATCCGAGAGATGCAAATCAAAACAACAATGCAGTACCATCTCACACCTGTCAGAATGGCTAACATCAACAAACGACAAGTGTTTGCGAGGTTGCAGAGAAAAAGGAACCCTCGTGCACTGCTGGTGGGAAATGCAGACTGGTGCAACCACTGTGGAGAACAGTATGGAGTTTCCTAAAAAAACTGAAAATGGAACTCCCATTTGACCCAGTAATCCCTCTCTTAGGAATATATCCCTAGAAACACCAATCAGAAAGGATATATGCACCCCTATGTTCATAACAGCACAATTTACAATAGCTAGGATTTGGAAACAGCCTAGGTGCCCATCAGCAGAGGATTGGATCCAAAAACTATGGTACATCTACACAATGGAATACTATGCTGCCATAAAAAAGAAGGAATTCTCATCATTTGCAGCAACCTGGATAAAATTGGAGAACATCATGCTGAGTGAAATGAGCCAGTCAATGAAAGAGAAACACCACATGACCTCACTCATTTATGGATAATAAAGAACATTATAAACTGATGAACCAAAAGATAGATATAGAGACAGTAAAGCAACAAACAGACTGTCAAATTACAGCAGGAAGGGTAAGGAGATATGGGGGAGATAAGAGATCAACCGAAGGACTTGTATGCATGCATATAAGCAAAACCAATGGACAAAAACTCTGGGGAGGGAGGGCATGTATGGGAGTGGGGAGGGACAATGGTAAGATATGTACACATATAATACCTTAATTAAAAAAAACGAAGGAAAAAAAGGCTTTATGTGTCTATGGGGTGAGCTCCAGACCATGGCCTTGAGGATGGAATGGTGGGGTGTGGAGGGCAGCTCTGGGAGCAGAGGGAGGGAAGGGTCTGAGACAGCACTTTTAGTTAGGGAGCAGGGATGGAGACCTGCACAAGGCAGGGCACTGGAAAGGTGGATCTAAGCAGCTGACCTGTACCCTGTCCCCCCCCCACCAGAAATACCCCCAGCCCAAGGGGCAGAAGAAGAAGAAGATAGTTAAATACGGCATGGGCGGCCTTATAATCCTGTTCCTCGTGGGCATCATCTGGTTCCCGCTGCTCTTCATGTCTCTGGTGCGCTCTGTTGTCGGCGTAGTCAACCAGCCCATCGACGTCACCGTCACCCTCAAGCTGGGGGGCTACGAGGTGAGCAGCAGCTTCTCCAGCCAGAGAAGCAATCCAGGTGCAAGCTCTGCTGCACACCGAGGGCTCTGGCCCGGCAGCCCCGATCCCGTTCCTGCCCTTTACTGTCCTCACAGACTGTGCAGAGCTCGGCCTGCGTGCTGGCAACCTGGGGAGTCAGGGAGGCTCCCCCAGCACCATGTCTCCCTGTTTGCACCCTCAGCCCTTGTTCACCATGAGTGCCCAGCAGCCGTCCATCGTGCCCTTCACATCACAGGCCTATGAGGAGCTGTCCAGGAAGTTTGACCGCCACCCGGTGAGCAGCCCCCACATTGTATCTGCCTGGCAGGGGAAGGGACGGCTTTGAGGGGAGGAGGATGGCTTGGCCTCACCCCACTGAGGTGCTGTCATGTGCTTAGCTGGCCATGCAGTTCATCAGCCAGTACAGCCCTGAGGACATCGTCACAGCGCAGATCGAGGGCAGCTCTGGGGCTCTGTGGCGCATCAGCCCGCCAAGCAGAGCCCAGATGAAGCGGGAACTGTACAATGGCACTGCCGACATCACCGTGCGCTTCACCTGGAACTTCCAGAGGTACGTCCTGGGCCCGGATGGGGCCTGGATGGGGTACACGCCTCAGTGGGTCACGTTGCACCCCTGTTTGCAGGGACCTGGCCAAGGGAGGCTCTGTAGAGTACACCAATGAGAAGCACACCCTGGACCTGGCCCCCAACAGCACTGAGCGGCGGCAGCTGGCCAGCCTGCTGGAGGGCACCTCGGACCAGTCAGTGTGAGTGGGGACCAAGCGGCTGAGGGCACCAGGAAGGCTGGGCCAGACTTGACCCACTGGATTCCTCCCCACAGGGTCATCCCTAACCTCTTCCCAAAGTATATCCGTGCCCCCAACGGGCCTGAGGCCAACCCTGTGAAGCAGCTGCAGCCCAGTGAGTGTTTGGGGGAGGGTGGTGCTGGGCCATGGCCTCTGCCCTGGGAGAGGGTGGTGGCCTGACGGTCTCACCGCTCTGACCCAGACGAGGAGGAGGACTACCTTGGCGTGCGCATCCAGCTGCGGAGGGAGCGTGTGGGCTCGGGGGACGCTGGCTTCCTCGAGTGGTGGGTCATCGAGCTACAGGACTGCCAGGCTGACTGCAACCTGCTGCCCATGGTCATCTTCAATGACAAGGTCAGCCCACCCAGCCTGGGCTTCCTGGCTGGCTACGGGTAAGTGTGCAGTGACGTGGCCTGGGGTTGGGGTGTGGCTGTGGGCAGCAGCCCCCCTTGATTCACCCACACTTGCCTGGCAGGATCATGGGGCTCTATGTGTCCGTCGTGCTGGTCATCGGCAAGTTTGTGCGCGACTTCTTCAGTGATATCTCACACTCCATCATGTTCGAGGAGCTGCCGTGTGTGGACCGAATCCTCAAGCTCTGCCAGGACATCTTTCTGGTGCGGGAGACGCAGGAGCTGGAACTGGAAGAGGAGCTATACGCCAAGCTCATCTTCCTCTACCGCTCACCGGAGACCATGATCAAGTGGACCCGCGAGAAGGAGTAGGAGCCAGGCTCTGTGTGCACCGTGAATGAAGGAGCCGGCCTGGCAGGGAGGAGGGCAGTGCTCCTCAGGCCACAGGAGCAGACACTCCAGTCCCAGGCCACCAGCTGTGACAGGTCCTCCTGGCCCACTGAGCCCTGATGCTGCTGTCAGAAGGAAGCTGTGGCCCCGCCATGGCCCAGCGCAGGACTGCTATCTCTTTCCGCTGTCCCTGCAGGGCCCAGTGCCAGACACACTGGGCCAGGGGCCCAGCCCTTTCTCCACATGTACTGTAGAGTTTTTTTTAATTAAAACAATTTTATTTATACAAACAGATGATAGCATGCCGCCTGCCCATCCCTGTGTCCTGATCCAGCATCGCGGAGGTCCAGGTCGGGTGGTCCCGGGGGTCCATTCTGAGGCTCAGCTCTCACCAGTCTGCGCCTCATCATCACTGTCAATCAGATACTCCTGCATCTCCTGCAAAACCGAGGCCCTGGGGGAAGCCACACAGTGGGAATCAGCCCAAAAGTGCTCACCTCCAGAAGGACCCCTCACGGGGCTCCCAGCAAGGCAGGCACCAGTACCTCTGGCTACGGAACTGGGCCTCAGTCAGGATGTAGGGTGGCAGGGGGTCCAAGGAAGGCTGCAACAGAGAGCCAACATGAGTGATGGGCTGCGTGACACAAAGCTAAGCCAGTGTCAACTGCCCCCTCAGCCCAGGAGTGGGAGGGCCTCCCCTATCACCAACACAAGGCAGGCATCACGCACCAAGTCCTTCATGTTCACACGGCACCCGTAGCATAGCTGCTCGATGACGTGGGCTCGGGGGTCCTCCCTGTGAGAGCAGAGCTGGACCTGTGTGCCTGGTCTTGGCCCCTTAGTGCAGGGCCCGAGGGCTTGGTGTACCGCCACCCTCTGAGTAGCTGCAAGGGACCCGCCATGGGGTGGAGTGGGTCAGGTCAGGGAAGATGCTCACCTCCTGCAGGGCTCAGCCCCCCGGCAACAGCCTTGGGCCCTGCCCGCCCCTGCAGAGCAGCAGGGTGTTGTGGGTGCCTCAGCTGGTGGGGTGGGGGGCTGCATATGGGAGAGATGTGAAGTCTGGGCCCCAAAAGCCGTGGCACTATCTGCAAACAGAGATGAATTGAAGGGACCTCAGGACCGGTAATCCCCAATACCCACTCACCGGAACCCGTTCCACCCAAGAACCGCGAGAACATTCAGCACAGACCAGCAGTGTCGATGTCCAGTGCGCACATGCAGAGCAGGCAGCGGGGGCCTGGGGGGCCACCAGCACTGCCATCCCTTGGGGCCTTGACCAGCTTCTCACTCGTTCTGGAAGTGTGAGGACAGGGCACAGAGGCACCACCGGTTAACCAGAACCTTGCTCCTGCCTGACCTGAGCCCAGGGGTGGTGAACTCAGTGCCTACCCTCCCACTCCCACTCCACGGCACAAACACACACCTGTACACAGTGCTGACTGTGGAGGGGAACTGGGCCTGCAGCCTGAGCATGAAGGCTTCCATAAGCCGGTGGATGCTGGACTTTTCAGGGGCCTAGGGACAATCAGATGGGGGCTGGAGTGGCCCTGGTGCAGAGGAGCAGCCCCAGGCCTGGCCAAGGGGCCGTGGGTTTCTCCACACTGTCCACTCCTGAGAGTCTGCCATGTTGGGCCTGGAGTCAATCAGGAACACACTTCTACAGTGTCCCTGTTGCTAAACAGAGCCATTATTAAAAATTAAATTATGGCCTGACCTACGTGGCTCAGTGGTTGAATGCTGACCTATGAACCAGGAGGTCACTGTTCAATTCCTGGTCAAGGCACATGCATGGGTTGTAGGTGATCCCCAGTGTGGGGCATGCAGGAGGCAGCTGATCAATGATTCTCTCTCATCATTGATATTTCTATCTCTCTCTCCCTCTCCCTTCCTCTCTGAAATCAATGACCCAAGTGTTGCCAGTTCAATTCCTGGTCAAAGGGTACATACCTGGGTTGTGAGCCATTCCCCATTCCCACCCCAGCCCAATCTGGGTGCATGTTGGAGGCAACTAATCAATGTGTCTCTTTCATATCAAAATTTCTCTCTCACACCCTCCCTTCCACTCTCAATTAAAATTAATGAAAAATATACCCTTGGGTGAGGATTAATAAAGAAACACACACACACACACACATACACACACACACACAAAAAAAAAATTATGTCAAAAGTTTAAGTATTTCTGACAAAGGTCATTCTGTCCCTCAATCATCCCTTCCCCATGTCCATGACTACCACTTCCCCCAAGCTGGGCACCTCGCCTTCCCAGGGACGGGTACCAGGGTGTGGCAACTCCCTCTCCTTGTGAGCCCCTCCCCGTCAAAGGCATCAACCTGTCCTCCAACTCCAAGGGCTATCCTGTATGTGCTCCAAGAATGCTGGGGAACACAGGGACTCCACTATGGTACCAGGTGGCAGGCACTGAAGCTAGAGGGCTGGTGTGGACACAGCCTAGGCTGCCTCTGCCCTGTCCCGCAAGTTACCTTGGTGTCGACAGCTGGTGTGAAGACGGAGGGCACGGCAAACAGGCGGTTGTAGAAGGCGACCTCCTTCAGTGTGTGCTCGCGCATGGGCCGCACTACCACCACGTCACCGTGCCTCTCATCAGAGAAGCCCTGGGGGGGGGGGGGGGTGCGTTCTTCCCTGTACCTAGCTGACAGGTTATAGCTCCCTCCTTCCCTGCCGCTGGGGGCTGACAGGTGTCGGGTCAGGCTCCTCCCTCCATGAGGAAGACCCCAAGACTGATTCACAAGATACTACTTTCAAGTGAAAGGACCTAACGGGTGAGGGTGGGAAGGGCCCCTGGGCAGCCTGCCCCTGAGTACCGTGTCCCAGGCCAGGAAGGCCCCTCTCCCCAGCGCCAGGCTAGTCATGAGCTTGATGGCCAGGCGGGTACAGCTGTCCCCCGTCATCACCTTGGAGTAGCCATGAGTCCGGGCCACATGCAGAATCAAATGGGTTCTGCAGAGCAGAGCAAGGGATCTCAGACACAGGTAGGGCAGGGCAAGGACCTGGGGGGGAAGAGGCTCACCGCAGGGTCTGAAGAAGCTCCTCCTTGGCTGTCAGTGTCTTCACAGAGTCGAAGAGTCTAGATAAAGCCTCGGTCTGGGCAGCTGTGGGTGGCTGAGCCTCAGTCTGGGCAGCTGTGGGTAGCCCAGCTGGGCTCTGAGGGTCCTGGGAGCCAGGCTGGCTCAGCTGCTCCTCCCCTTCAGCTGGCGCATGCTGCTGCTGGAGGAAACTGTCCACGGCTGCTTTGTAGGCCCCCTTGGTCCCTGAGGGCTCCTGGGCAAGGTAGCGAAGCACGGATGGCGGCAGGCTGAACACCTTGCAGGGCAGGGGAGGGTGGAGAAGCTGTATGAAGCCCATGCTCACCACTGTGCATATTGAGGCACGGCCCAGGCAAGAGGCCCGCAGCCTGGCCCCAACAAGGGGGCATGCACTCCTGTGGCATCCCAGCGGGCACTTCCCGAGGTCCTTCCCACGGTGGGCCCACATACCTCTTCTAAGGCAACAATGTGCCAGGGAAAACCAACTGTCTGCAGGATCAGCTTCATCTCAGCTAGGGTTCTGGCTCTGTCCTCCGGGCTCTGTCCACAGGCTGCTCCCTCTGAAAAAGGCAGAAAGAAAGGAGTCATGACTTTTAGGAGACGAGCCCAGGCAGGACAGGCCAACACATGAGCTGCCTCGATCCTGTGCTCTGCAGAGCAGCAGCTTGTTAGAAACCACAGGCTGCAGACCTCCTTGGAGGAGCATTTTCAGAGTGGGCAGGGGGTTCTGTGGTGGCCGAGGGACGAGGTGGGGAAGGGAGGTAGGGCAGGTTAGCATCCAGCCCCTTGGGTAGTGAACTCAAAACCATCTCACTCAGTGCCCTAGATCCGCAGAGGAGGCCAGGCCAATACTCCTGCTCAACTCTCTGATGGTCTGACTTATGACAACAGCACTGCCATCTGTTGGTGGACGTGTGCACTGACTCCAGGGCCTGGGTGTGGGCACAGCGCCAGCTGTTTCAGGGGGCCTGTCCCACGCGGTTGGGATCTTGGAGAGAAAAAAGGCCACACGTACCATCCACGTAGACAATTCCTGGCACAAAACGCAGTCTTTTGGCAGAATCTCGACTCAGGCCCTGGAGAGGGGAAGGGACTGGCCTCAGCCTCATGGCTAGAAGCCACAGGACACTTTCCCTACAGACACCCTTCTCTGTACTCGGCGGGGAGCCCCACCTGTAGTGAAGAGGCTGCAGAGGGAAGCCGTGTACCCTGACTCACTTCAAACTGCCTGGTGTCTGCACTCTCCCTTGTAAAACCTGCTCTCCCCAGTCTGTCCCTGCTCCTGGCAATGCTCCGAGAAGCAGCTGGATCCACATAGCTGTCCATGCTCCCTACCAAAGCCTCCACGGTGCCCAGCACCATCAAGAGAAACTGTAACTGCCCCCACACGTGATCCAGGCAGACCAGCACAACCTGCACCCTTCCTTCTTCTCACCTCCCCACCTTGACATAAGCTGTCTTCACCAACATGGCCTCCCCTGGCAGCATCCCTCCCCCTGCCTCTCATTCCCTTAAACTTCCCAAGTAAAATCCCTTGCTAGGGCCTGACAGGATCAAACCACTTTTGTCTCCCAAGACACCTAATTCTATTTCAACATCTTGTCCCAGACACACTCCCAGGATGAGAGAAGGCCCCTGGCTTCAGGGCCATCTTCAGTGATGCCCTATTGTGCCCCCGAACATTCTTTTCCCAGTGATTACTTTGCTATAGAGTAAGTGGACAGAGTGCTAAACTGGGGCACAGCTGGGTATTCCGGACACAGCTCCTGGCTTGTGCACCTCTTGTATACACATCCAGGAACCCTGCAGGGCTGCTCTCTCTAGTTCTAAACAAGAGCCCCTTGGTGCTGGCCCTCCACTTTCAAGCTCAGTTGGGCGGTGGCCTGGGCACAGGAGAACAGTTTGGAGACGCACCTCAAGAACCTGCCAGATCATGGAGCTAGACGAAGGCCCCCCAGACCACGCCAGGAGCACCTGGAAAAGAAGGAACACTGCTGGAGGGCACCACATCTCCAACATGAAAATACCCCTCCACCCCCTCTCCACTATGGATATTCCAACATGGGTCCATTCTCAGAGCCCAGGCACAGGACAGAGGGAAGAGCTGGTAAGATGCAGCTGGGACAGGCTGCCTCAGGAAGGGTGGCAAGGGGCTAAGAGCCAGGGCCCGGGTAGCTGAACTGCCCAGTCGGAGACTCCACAGGGGAGTCACCCCACACTCTACCTTCTCTCCTGGAAAGATCAGCCGGTTCTTCCCGAGCACAGCTCTGAACTTGTGGACATAGAATGCCTTGAAACAGTCCCTGCAACACAAACCACCACTGGCTGCAGCCATATGGCCCAGGATGCCTTCCCTCCATGCCAAGAGAGGGAAGCCAATACTGGCCTCTGCGGGGTGGCAGGCAGCCTGAGGCTAGCTCTGTTACCTTTTCCTTCTCGTACCAACTTCCCTTTAAAAGAAGTATCTTGACAATGAGGCTCTGCCCTGAAGTCAGCATGGAGGGGTTCTACCAGGTATGGTTGCCCCAGGATGAGCCTCATACCACATGCAAAGGCCCACCTGCATCATCCCCACAATCCTTACCAGTGTGAACCAAAGCCTGCGGGCCAGGAGCCTGGTACCACCTGCACTGGCAGGCGCTCAGAAAGGCCCAGCTGGTGGAACAGATGGACATAGGCAGGCGCAGGACAAGGCCACCCAGCCCTTCCATAAGCAGAGTTGATGACCCCTTCCAAGACCCCCCACTGAGAGAAGCACCACCTCTGGGGGTGGAAGCTGCAGGGCCCAGCGGCCTGAAGCTCACACAGGCCCCCCTCTAGTGCTCTGATCCCGCTGGGACCAGAAATGCCCAGGAAGCTCATGGAAACGCAGAATCCTGGGCTCTTCCCCAAACCCACAGATCAGAACTTCCAGGCAGGTCCTGGGAACCTGCGTTCTTAGTAAAAATTCCGGCTGATTCTTGGGCTCACTAGGTCAGAGGTGGTCAGTCTTGACTGCACATTAGAATCATTAACTACTATATCACAGTATATTGGGATGAGGCCCAGGCATTTGCTTTTTAAAGCTTCCCTGACAGCACCCTGAGTAGAGGAGGCAACTCTGTACCTCCAAAATTGCCCCATACCTGGGGCTATGCACTGTCTGCTTCCTTTTTCTTGCTCAGCTATCCCTGTGTCCACAACAATCCCCCCAACACTGATCAGAAACTCCTTATAATGAGCCAACCAAACACCCCACAGGTCCTTCTGAGGACGGTAACTCAACCCAGTGTTTAACTGCAAAATGCTGGAGCTGGAGGGATCCCAAGTGACCAGCCATAGGAAGTTCGGAAAGTGCGGAGGTTCCCCCAGCAGACACAGTCGCTCGACTTCACTGCTCACTGGGGGTGAGGCGGTGGGGGAATCACCCTGTGGCTACCCCACTCCCTGTCCTCCCTGCACCACGAGGCTCCTGAAACCGTACTTTCCTCTGGGTCAGGCCACGGTTTCTCACTGTGCCGACCCTCACAATCACTGAGGAAACATGTTCGAAACCTAGACTCCCAAAACCTACAACGAGAAAGTCATCTTTCCCCAAAACTGAACAAGCACACGCCCTGGGAGGTAGGGGGCTGGAGGGGGTGGGGGGAGTTGCTCTGGGCTCCAAAATACTGCAGGCCTTGCCTAGAGCTGCTGCAATCTGTCCTCTTATCAGCGAATTCTCCAAGCAGATTGGAGGGATCATAAAAAAAGTGGCTTTTTTTGTGTGTGTGCCTAAAATGTATTTTCTGGTGGCACACACCAAGTCTACTAAGCTCCCAAAATGTTCAGGGTCGAGAAAGTTTTTGGAAAACAATTTATTTAGTCCCTTCAGTTTGTTTGTTTATTTGTTTGTTTGGAATATTTTATTTTATTTTTTAAATATATTTTATTGATTTTGTACAGAGAGAGAGAGATTTAGAAACATCGATGAGAGAGAATCATCGATCAGTTGCCTCTTGCACACCCCCTACTGGGATATGCCCGCAACCAAGGTACATGCCCTTGACCGGAATCGAACCCGGGACCCTTCAGTCCCCAAGCCGATGCTCTATCCATTGAGCCAAACCGGTTTCAGCTGTTTGGAATATTTTAGAAAGCAGAGTCCAACACTCTTGGAGACCAATTTAGAGATGTGAGCTGATCACTCATTCAACAAATGTTCACTTGCTATACAAAGCATGCAACATCACCAGGAATTAATAGGGCTAAAATGGGAGCCCAGTCCTGCCCTCGTGGAGCTGTGAATCTAGTGGATCAGACAAAGAAGAGTTATGATTCAAAGGCGATGTGACAGAGGCATAGAAGAGCTTCAGATAAAACAGAACCTGCTGGTGCCCAGGCCCCTCTGAGAATAAGTCTCTGCTCCTGTATAAAGGACCCCCAGAGGCAGGGGAAGGCTGAGCCCACCTTCCACTCCTCTGTTCCTCACGAGTAAAACAGGCATCACACGGAACACCTGCCCAAGGTCCCAGGATGCTCCAAATGGCCCTTATATGGGTTCTAGCTGCCCAGAAAAGCTTATCCCGCCTGCACCTCACTCACTCTTTCCACCAGCTCTCCTCATAAGTGCAATCGTATACCTTTCTGCCTCCTCATCCACAGTTGAATGGTGGGAGACTGGTACCCACACATACATGAAGGCAATCCTAGCTTCTGAGCAAGCCCTTTTGCCAAGGTCTCCTATCCTCCTACAGGCCTCACCTGCAGAAGGCATCTCCTGCTCGTATCACCACCACCGGCAGGCCTTCCTTGCACTTCACACACTTCAGCTCACGGCTTTGGAGACATGGGGCGCGGGGAGAGAGAACAAGAACACATTGCACACGCCCCTAAGACTTCGAAAAGAGGTCCTGCTTCTCACCCCAACCTGGTGTAGGGGAGAGGTCATGTGGGCAGCTGAACACAAGCAAACCAGCTTGTGTCTTAACCAAACTTCCAATGTGAAAAAACGACAGGGGCCCTGGAGGATTCCGGTCTGTTAAGACCAGTTCAGGGGGCACCTAAAGGCCACCTCTCCTCTCTCCAGGGCTGGCCCGACAGGAGAGCCAACTCGCTCCGTGTAGTTCTGGACGGGAGACAGGGAGTCGGTGGAAGACAGCGACAGGAAAGCCGACTTCTCTTCCAGTAAAGACAGCGTGGTCAGCGGCAGAGCTGTCCCACCGACTGCAAGAATGTGAGGTGTGAGGGAGCCCCTCCCTGGGGAGCTCACCACCGGCTTGACAGGCTCTCCCAGGTGCTGCGAAGCGCGGTCCAGACTTCCTGGGACCCTGGGCTGCCAGGCTGGGCTTTCCGGAGCGCGGCGGCCGGGCCCTCGGGGTAGGACTGGCCGCCGGCTGGGGGGCGCCGCGAACCGTAGGGACGGGGGTGGCCCCCAGCTCTTACCCAGCCCGCGGCGGCGGCGGCATCTCGGGCGCGGGCGCCCCATAATCCTCGCCCTCCTGACACATGGCCGTTCCGAGCGAGCCGCGGACGGCGGCCCTGACGGCGGCGGACGCGCTATGATGACGTCACCTGCCGCCGCCGCCGAGCGGCGCCTCGCCTCCCTCGGGGGCGGGGCGCGCCCTGAGACGTTAGCGCGACGCCGTCGCGGCGGTGACGCGAGGGCCGGTCCTGGCCGGGCCGGCCGGGACAGCGGCGGCGGCGGCGGCGGCGGCGGGCCTGGCCCCGGGATGGCGATGTTCCGCAGCCTGGTGGCCTCGGCTCAGCAGCGGCAGCCAGCGGGGGGGCCCGCGGGCGGCGACAGCGGCCTGGAGGCGCAGTACAGCTGCCCCATCTGCCTGGAGGTCTACCACCGGCCCGTGGCCATCGGCAGCTGTGGCCACACGTGAGTGCGCCGGCCTCCGGGGGCCGCGGGGCCGGGCTCCGCCGCGGGGAGGGGTCTGCGCCCGGCTGGAGGGTCGGAGATCCGCCGCCGCCCGGAACCGCGGGGAGCCCGGCGCTCCGGGAGGACCCAGGGGCGTAGGAGCCGGGCTCCCTCCGCCGCGCCGGCCCTGCCCTCCGGCGAGTCCATCCGCTTTAGCCCAGGCTCCGCCAGCCTTGGCTCTCCGCCCACCACACCGGCGGCACACGGGGCAACCCGCAACCCTGCCGGGTCTCGGCGCCCCGGGGGCTGCTGACGGCCTCGCACCTCCCCGAGTGCTCAGAGGGCAGCCGGCACGACCTCTGCGCCAGTCGCTTGGATTCGGTCCCGCGGAGACGGGAGTGGGCGGTTGTAAATAAATGCCTGTGGCTTTTGCTGTCAACTCTTTTTGCGGACCGGCTGTCTGTTGTCTAGATTGCTGCGGAGAGAAGTTCCCTAAAGTTAGGAGCGGGGCTTGTTTGGAGTCTGGTGCTGCTTTCTGTTGTTCTGATGGAAAACTTGGGTCACATCGATCACCCATCAGCCAGGCAGGCTGGCCCACAGGGGACCAGTCGCTAAGCACCTTGCTAGGGTTTCCAGCTGCCTGCACCAGGGCTTACAGAGGGCTCCCTGCAGGGTTTGAGGAACTGAAACCTGAGGATGTGGCACTCCTTCAGCTGAGAGCTTCACTCAAGTCATCTTGGAGCAGCCAGCCTGGTAGGGCGGGAACTGAGATCAGTGTCCACTCTGAATCTCCCAAGTGATTGAACAATGCAGCTCTTGAGTGAAGTCAGCAAGGTGGGGAGCGGGGCCTAGAGGGCTTGGGTGCTGAAAGAGCTGCTGAGGAGGTGGAGCTTTCCCTATAAGGGGTTGGGCTGAGGGGCACCCAGGCTGGTAGGAGGCCCTAGAGCATTTTGCAAACAAGGGCAGCTGACTTGGGAGGCTCTGGATACAAAGTCAGGGCTCTGGATACAAAGTGGTAGCTGGAACTGCTGGGTGAGTGTGACTGCTCCTCACCCAGAGAGGTGGCAGGTGTGGTGTCAGGGTCCTTTCCTCCTTTCTCCCCTCCCCATGCCAGGCAGCACAGAGCACTGGCGACTTTTTCATGCTGCTGGTAACATTTTGACAGGGGCAGCTCCTGAACAGGACTTATTTCTTGTAAGCACATTCTCGTGGGTGTTTGAAGGTGTGTTCTGCGTCTTTAGTCCCATCATTGAGAGAACTGTGAGGCTTCTAATTTTAGAAACCCTTGCCTAGGCTTCAGTTGTGTCCCCTTGGCACTGACACCCAGCCTCTTGGTCTGCACAAAACTGTGTTTTTTCTTTTTTTATCCAAGTACATCGTTTCTTAAAATGTGGTTTCCAGAATACAGAACTACACAGGATTATTGCGAAACATCTCTTATAAAGCCCTTCTCCCCCACGCTCTTAGCATAATCTCACCCCTCGCCTATTTCTAGGGCTGGTCCTACAAGGGCCTCTTCTACAGTTTGTGCCTTAAAAAGACCTGCTCCCTGGCTCTCCCTGCTGCCTTGTTTTCCTAGCTATTCTGTCTCAACTTCTTAATTTCCTGAAGTTTCTGGCCCGGTGTTTTGAAGGCTTGTATACAGATGAGCAAAGAAGATTTAAAGGCTCTGCCTTTCCTTTTACCGTAAAAACCTTGCTGGTGGTTTGGTTATTTCCCTCTATAGCTACCCGACTAAGCCGTTTCCTTTCTCAAAATAGGTTTTCTGGTGGTGAGTGTGGCCCTGTATGGGACAGTACCCCTGCTCCAGCACCTGGACAGGAGGGGATATAGGCTTTCGAGCAGGAGCCCCTCACCGGAGCTTGTGGAAGGGCTCCCAGGAACCCAGGGGCCCCAGAGGAAACTGGTTTTCTGTCAATCTCAAGGGACATCCTGGGCAGTGAGCCACATCCGGAAACAGAAACTGCGTGGCTGTTTCTAACCCTCTGATGGACCCTCCCCTGAGGGCGTGTTGGGGCAGGGTTTAGCCCAGGCTATCTCTGGTCTTTATACCTCTTCTTTTATCCCCTCTAGTTAGTGCTGTCCCATCTGTCCCTGCATCTGAATATCCCCACATTCAGTTTGTTACTGAAAGGAGATCATAGAAAAGTCTTAAAGTTCATTTTTAAGGGGAACTGTAGGGAATGATAATAGATGTTGTCTGAGTGCTCCCTGAATGCCACAGCCCTCTGAAGCAGTACTGCCACTGTTCTTTCTGTACAAGGAAAGTGAGGTAGGCTGAATAAAGGTTCCTATTCTCACAACAAAGACAGGGTTTGTGCTCAGGCGGCCAGGCCCACCCTGCCTCTTAGCCACTCTCCTCCCACCACCTTCACAGCCCCTCTCCACCTTCCACTTTTGCAGCAGTGACTGCAGACCCTAAGACAACTGAGCCTTTACAGCCTCTGCCAGCTGCACCCAGGCCAATGAGCTGGCTTCTCTGGGTGGAGGTCCCACAGGCTCCAGGAGTTTTGGTCACTCCCTGCTTGGCTGCCTGAGAACACAGGCCTCAGACAAGGCCTATGACCCAATGGCAGCTCAGGGTCTGTATGAGTGAGCCCAGTGAGGTGTGTCAGCACACAAGCCATTGCATGACCACCCAGGAAATGCTTTGTAAGTCTGCATCCCAACTCAGGACAGTTTCAGGAGCCTGGGGCTCAGCCTGCCTGCCTGCCCGCCCTCTGAACATTGGCCTGTCCTGGTGTACCTGCACATGCAGAAGGCCAGGGTGGCAGTGAGACACCTGAGTGGTGCTGCTGTAGCCTGGAGTCCCTGCACTGGTCGTCAGGCTGTTACAGCGGTGCCTGTGGGTTTGACATGAGAACAAGCCCCTTCAGCTGCTTCCTTCAGCTGAGAAGCTGCCGAGAACCAGTCCCTTGGGCAGACACAGGCAGGAACCTACTGCAGGAAAAGTGAGCACTGTTAGTCTGCTGTAGCCCTCGCCACACCACGTTGAAGATGCTGGAAACTAGGCCATGAGCTGAGCTACTGTATGGACACCTAGTTCTACCTCTAGCTCCTCAGGGACTGTGAAAAGGAGACAAGCAGTGCTGCGGGGCTGGGCGAGTCTGGGGTCAGGCAGACATTCAGGTTTGCCTTCCAAAGACTCCCAAAGTTCCCCTGCCTCCTACTGGAGGACAGCAGGGTACCCTTCACCTTGACCTCTGTCTCTCATCGGAGACCTGCTCCTCTGGAGGCCTGCACTCTGGAGGCCCTGCATTCTGCCAGTATTGTGGGTACAGCTCTTCCCCACATGTGGTCTTATGTCCTTTCCTTCTGCATGTGTTTTTACAGCTTTGCTGAGAGATAATTCCCTTATTCAAGTATACAATTCAGTGGCCCATACTATATATGCACAGCATTGAGTAACCATTACCACATTCAATATTAGTACGTTCTCATCATCCCCATTGGGACTCAGCCTCTATACCCACAACTCCTAACCTGCTTTCTGTCTCTGTGGATTTGCCTGTTCTGGAAAGTTCACATAAATGAAATTGTACCATGTAGTCCTTTGTGATTGGCTTCTTTCACTGAGTATGATATTATTTTTTATTTCTTGATTTCAGAGAAGGGAGAGGGGGAAAGAGAGAGAGAATCATTGATCGACTGCCTCCTGCACGCCCTTTACTGGGGGGGGGGGGGGTGTCAAGCCTGAAATTGGGCATGTGCCCTTGACCCTGGGACCCTTCAGTCCGCAGGCTGATGATGCTCTGTCCACTGAGCCAAACCGGCTAGGGCTGAGCATGATATTTTCAAAGTTCCTCTAGTCAGTACACTCTCCCTCTTATGGCTAAGTCGGTACATCACAGAGGTAGACTGAGATCCGCCTGACACCTGTCACAATGGCCACGTGGTTGTTTCTACTTGGTTGCTGTCACTAGTGCTGGATGAGCACTCATTTGTTTGTTTGTTTGTTTGTTTGTTTTTCGGCTTCCCCATTGTGACCATCGAGGCAGCACTTTCCTCCAGTGGCTGGGTGAAGTAAGAGACTAAGACTGGTGAGGAACAGCCCTGGGCATCCTCACTGAGCACCAGGGCTGGGTGCATAACATCTTCTTTGCATGCCTGCTGAGATGCCTGGTGAGCCCTCACGGGGAGCAGGAAGTGACCAGGGGGCCCACCTCCTTACTCTGCAGGACAAGGGTCACCAGAAACGCTGCACTCTAGGTGTCAGGCCTACCCAAGCCTCTCATGTGCACGTTAATGTGAGAGGTGAGCAGTCAGGTGATGGCAGTACTAGAGGCCAGCCTTTAGGAAGCGGGCCTTGGGATGGGCACAGGAGGGACTGTGGATCTCCCTTGGCTGCCTTTTTCTGAGAAGGAAGTGAGACTATGAGGGAACTCTGACTGCTTAGCTTTCTGTATACTCAGAAACATTTTCACACCCTTTTGTCTCGTACAACTCCTGTCCCCACCATGGCCTTCCCTGCCTGACATACACAGGTGGACGTAGAGCGGTGCCCACCCTGGTTTCTTGTAGTTTGCAGAGTTACCACCTTTCTTGTGTGTCCGGGCTCAGCCCCATGATGGGACTGAGCACATGCTCTTCTGGGCTGTGGAGGCTCTATTCCAGTGTCTCCAAGTCCCAGGTCTTATGTTGCAGCTAAGTGATCCCCACAGCACTTCCTATGAAACTGGACTGAAGTGGTCCTGTAATCAAGCGCTTTCTCCCTCTCACCCCCTCTGACCAGATTTTTCTCTAATGACCGGCACCCTCCTCGGCAGGTGGTTGTAAATTCCAGTGAGGGGTGCATGGGTAGGAGGGCTCTCTGCACATGCAGACTACACAGGACGAGCATCTCCATGGACAGTGCCAAGAGCTCACGGCTGCAAGGAGCCTCAAGTGCCCACATGCATGCCCAGGACCCAGAGTATCATTGCTGGACTGTCAGGAGCCTGAGCACAGTCCTTCCTGTCACTGCTCCTCCATTCAGGCCTATCAGGCGAGCCATTCCTGCACAGAAGGTGGCACTGTCTTAAAGCTGATGATGCTCACCTGCCAGCTTTGGCCCTTTCCTATCAATGAGTCCTGTGATTTCCTCTCGCACCATTGTTAGTGAGTTTACTCCCCAGAGCTTAGTTAGTGGGGGGTCTCCAAGGTCCTCTGTACTGTCCCCATGTTTCCTGAGTCCCCTGAGGTTCATTACCATGTGGCAGTTAGATTGGCAGGCTGAGCTCAGGCCTCTTACTGTAGCCAGAGCTCTTGCTGGGACCAGGGCCATGGGGCAGCACAAGTCCTAGAGAGCCACAGCTGCAGCTCTGGGTCCCAAAAGCCCATGGCTGGGAAGGAATCTGGGGTAATCCTTGAGCCAAATGGTACCCATCCAGCCAGTGGGACTCGGGCTCGGAAAACTGTCTTCAGGAACACACAGTTGACAACAGTGGTGAGTTGCCCTGTGTGTGCTGGAGCAATCTGACCTGTGACCTCAAGCCCATGTCCTCTACCCCTGCAGGTTCTGTGGGGAGTGCCTCCAACCATGCCTGCAGGTACCATCCCCCCTGTGCCCGTTGTGCCGCCTGCCTTTCGACCCCAAGAAGGTGGACAAGGCCACCCACGTGGAGAAGCAGCTCTCGTCCTACAAGGCACCCTGCCGGGGCTGCAGCAAGAAGGTACCCACCCCTGGATGCCCTCGGGGCCAGGAGGGTGCTTAGGGCCTGGTTCTGCCCTGCAGCAGAGGAGCTGGACTCTTCCCTTTCCTGTTGAGGACCCTGCAGCTCTGCTTGGCCCCTCCCTCACGGCACTTCCAGGTGGCTCTGCCTCTGGTCCCACATTGCATCCCCCAAACTCCACTCTCTGGCCTGGGCTCTGGGTCTCTTGTGTGCCTTGTGGCTGATGCCGGGACATGGGCTGAGCTGAAACCCACCCCAGACATAACCTTGACACTCCAGTGATCTGCTGCTCACTGCAGGCAGTGATGTAAGAGAGCGGAGGGCAGTTTGGGACCATGGGCTGAATGGAGCACATTGCTCTGTGGCTCTTGTCACCTGCATCGCCTGCCTTAGGCATCCTGCCCTAGAGCCCATCCTGTCACCCTCCTTACACTCACCACACCCCCAGGGCTGGGAGGCCCTGCCTCCTGGTGGTGCAGCTAGAACTGATTTTGAATTTACATTTTCCGACATTGCCAGCTCTCTGGTTATCAAGTTCTACCAACTTAGCACAATGGAAAGCAGCCACTGGTTGGTTGCCTTAATGGTCAAAGGTCTGAACTTCCTGAGAACCTCCAGGGGTGGGGGTTGTTGGGGCTTCCTTCAAGCTCACATAGTCCCTTCCCCACTTCTCCCCTTGATCCTCCTATAGTTTCACATGTGAAGTGGCTCTGCCCTTCACTCCATGCCCCAACCCTGGGCAGAGCTGGTATCGGAAGGCTATTCTGTTACCCAGACCTGGGTCAGACCTTGGTCCTGGGGATAGTGCCCTGTGCTCAGGGAGGCAGCTGTCCCTCTTGCGCCCTCTCTTGCTGTTTCCTCAGTTCTGTGAACTAGTCTTCTGTTTGTGAAATGCTTACTCTCCAGCCTCTTGGCATTGGCCACATGGCAGGAAAGTGGTGTCCACTCCCCAGAGAGGATTGACCAAGGTTCCTTAGCGCTGCCCTTCCCCTGGCCATGCTTGAAGCTGGGATCCCTTTTCCCCAACCCCCCCACCAGAGTTTGTGACTCAAGCAGCCAAGGAGGTCAAGCTGGGTTTGGTTTGGGTTGATTTGGTACCTTTTGGTAAGGAGTTTTGTCAGCTGTTCGACTGTCTAAAAGAATTTGGCTCATTGGTTCCTGTTACAAGGAGTATCTTTCCTGAATGAACGTACTTCCCATTCCCCCAGGGACTCTGCACTTCTGAGTCCCCCAGGGACCCCAGCTTGGGGTGCTCTCATCCAGGGGCTGAGGGCCGTGCCAACCTCCTGCCAAGCTGCAGCTAAAGCAGTGTGCACCTGCTGCTGGGCGTAGCTCAGAGGCATGCCCTGAGGTCTCAAGTCTGTCTCCTTCCCTTCTTTTCTCCAGTGCGGACACTGGGCCCCTAAGAGAGGCCCCAGAATCTGTTTGTTGCACTGCTGGGCTGTGAACACCAGGAGCAGGACCAGCCTGCTTGCTGGTTGTTCTCTGGTCCAATGGAGCCAGAGGCTTTGCTGCCCCACCCCCACCCCCACCTGCCTGACCCCTGCCCTGCCTCTCTTCCCAGGTGACACTGGCCAAGATGAGGGTGCACATTTCCTCATGCATGAAGGTCCAGGAGCAGATGGCCAACTGTCCCAAGTTTGTCCCTGTGGTGCCCACATCCCAGCCCATTCCCAGGTAGGCCACTCCACTGGGGGCTGTGTCCCTGTAGGTGGTGGGAGCAGCTCCTGATCTGCACCACTAGGTGGAGGCAGTACTGCTCCACCCAGAGGAAGTGGACGGGGCTCTGCATCAGCTCCCAGCAGGGATGTGCTGTCCCCAGAGAAGCAGGGTCTGGACAGATGACTCCTCTCAGGGCAGGTGGCCTGTCCTCTCCCCACTTGCCCAGCCATGTTGGGAAGGAGAGGGACCAGGAGTTTATGAGGCAGCAAGCGGTTACAGAGCAGTTGCAATGGGATGTGCTGGGAGCAGGACAGAGGGTCCCAGGGTGACCGGGGTCCTCGGTACTGGGCTGATCCTCCTTCCTGAGCAGGGAGGGGAGGGCACACCTGTGCTGGGGCAGGTGGGGCTGGGCTATGAGAAGGTCGGTAGTGCCCAGCCAGGCCACCACTTACTCCTCCCCTCTCCACTCCAGTGCCATCCCTAACAGGTCAACCTTCACCTGCCCTTACTGTGGCGCCCGCAACCTGGACCAGCAGGAGCTGGTGAAGCACTGCGTGGACAACCACCGCAGCGATCCCAACCGTGTGGTGAGCGCCCGCTGCCAGCTGCCCTGGTGCCTGAGCCCCTCTGTCCACCCACAATGCCCTCCTGGGACCCCAGGGCGGGGGCTTGCTTCTCACTCTTGCTCAGCTTCACCCAAGTGTCTTCTGTTCCAGGTGTGCCCCATCTGCTCAGCGATGCCCTGGGGTGACCCTAGCTACAAGAGCGCCAACTTCTTGCAGCACCTGCTCCACCGGCACAAGTTCTCCTATGACACTTTTGTGGTGCGTGTCCTCCCCCTCCCCAACCCTTAACCAGCCTCAGGTCTATAATTCAAAGGGAGCTGAACACACAAAGGCCTCCCAGATTTTTTTAATACATTTTTATTGATTTCAAAGAGGAAGGAAGAGGAGAGAGAGAGAGAGATAGAAACATCAATGTTGAGAGAGAATCATTGATCAGCTGCCTCCTGGACACCCATGCTGGGAATTGAGCTCAACCTAGGCACGTGCCCTTGACCAGAATCGAACCTGCGACCCTTCAGTCCACAGGCCGATGCTCTGTCCACTGAGCCAAACCCACTAACGCCCTCCCCAAATTTTTGCGGGAGCACCCACAGGTCTGGTGCTGCTGGCGGGCAGGTCCCTGTGGCCACTAGAGGTCCTCGGACTCTGGAGCAGCACAGAGTACTTTGAGAGGGCCCCTGGGTTCTTCAGAGCTCTCTTCCCACTGGGCGAGGAGAGGCTTCTCTGGGAGAGGTGGCCACAGGTGCAGCGGCTGCTGCAGGGGGACCATCTCCCCAGCCCTTTCAGGACAGAGAACCCATGGAGGGTGATGGGCTGAAGCCAAAGGGACTTCACCACCTTGAAAATCTCCAACTCGCTTTCCCTCCTATCTGCTCTGGTCAGAACCATGCCTGCCCCAGGCCTGCAGACCTCCTCAGGCTCTTCCTCCTGCTTAGCCCCTCCCCGCCCAGCCCTGTGGTTCTGTCCCTGCCAGCCTGCGGCCTCCAGGTTCCTGGCTATATGGGATAATTACTCATGCTCCTGTCCACCCCCAGGGTCCTCGTGGTTGGAGGCTTGGAGCTCTCTGGCTTCTCTGCTCATCTCACAACCCTAGTTCTCACATCTGAGGCAGAAGGACAGCTCTTTCTCCAAGTGTCTGCCCCTCCCACAGGCGCGCTGGGCAAGGTGTCTGCTGGACATGGTGTCCACTGAACAGCTGCAGGGGCCCTCAATGTAGAGAACTTGGGAGATGGCAGACAGTGATCCCACATGTGGCAGCACTTTAACCTCCAACAGAGCTTTCTCTATATGGCAGCAGTGACCCCATGACTGCAGGGGGCCTCATTCTTGGCCTGAGTCGTGCTGAAGAGAGGTGGGGAGAGTGGAGGTGGTACTGCTGGTCTGTTCGGGTGACTGGACAGAGGAAGTGGTCCTGAGAAGTCACTAGCATAGCTGGGCCCTCATGTCTGGGCCCTTGAGTCCCCCAGCCCATCTCCACTTCCTGTCTTCCAGGACTACAGCATCGATGAGGAAGCTGCCTTCCAGGCCGCCCTGGCCCTGTCTCTCTCCGAGAACTGAAGGCGCAGCCCAGCCACCAGGACCGAACCTCCCACCTCGGGGGACAGGGCCATGCTTGCTTTCTGTGGCCCAGAGCCTGCACCTGAATGCGCCTTGCGGGCCAGGTGGGCCTCCATCATTTCAGAAGAAGAGGCGGCACTCGGATTGCCAGGCCAGGAGAGACCACTGTCCCCTCTCCATCGGGATGGTTGCCTGTGCTCCTGGTCAAGCATGGCTGGTTTCTTCGGTGCTTCGGTCCTCTCGGGGCCGGCCTGTTGGGACTGAGAGCAGTCAGCTGTCTGCCTCTCTCAAAGCCATGGTGTCCTCCCCGTGCGGAGGGGGAGCCCAGCGACACCGCCGGCCGCCGGCATCTCGCAGCTCTTCCCTCTGTGCACCTGGTACTGGCTTTGTGATACCTAGAAATTCTGGCATTTTTCTATATTATCCAGTGTGATAACCTTTTCACATTTTATAGAGCAAAGTCAAAGCAGTTTCTCTTCATATTGCAATATCTGTGTTTGACTAGGAACAATAGTATTTTTATGGAGCATTTACAAAATTATATTTTTTAAAAAAAAGTAAAAAACAAATGTTGTGGGATCATGCTGGGGAGGGGAGAGATGGGCAAATGCTGGGGCCAGAATGAACCATGGAGTTTCACCTGTGCACACGGGTGGAGGTGGCCACGTCCCAGGCCATCTCAGTGTCTTTGAGGGTTCCTGCGGTTGGTTTGTCAATTCCTTGGCCACTTGCAGTGGCTACTGGGCTCTTCTGGGGCCTCTTCCTGCCCAGGGTCCTGGCCTCAGCCCCGTTGACCACATCCTGCCTCAGGCAGGGCCACCCCCAGTGGTGGTAGAGCTTGGGGGGAAGGGGCAGGGCTGTGCAGTGGTGGACTGGGCCAGAAAATGCTTGTCAGTACTCTTGTTTGGTTCATGGCATAAGTTATTGCTGTCCTTTAAAAAAATAATAAAATGTTTCAAAGCATCTATAGCAGCAGGATGGGTTTCATTCTGTAAACAATAAAAGCCCAGGGCTTGTGTGGAGTCACCATAAGCTTCTTTTGCAAGTGTGTTTCTGTCTCCAGGCAGCTCCAACTCAGTGAAGCTGGCTTCAGGGTCACCTGGGAAGAGGATATGGTGGCCAGGGGAGGACTATGGTCAACCATCCTGCCTGCTCCCAAGCCCTGCTGCCTCGGCCGCCAGTGGTCACTGGGGGACCAGGTCGTCGCATGAACACCATGCTTCCTTAGTGCGCTGGAGGTTTCTCAACGGTGACCCTTGTTCCCCAGCCTGTTCCTGCCTCTGTCAGAGTTCTTGAATTGCATCTGGTCCCTCGTGGCAAACCCAGGCAAAGTTTGTAGGGTGTTGGTGGCTTTCACCTCCTTGGTCATAAGACAGGGTTTGCTGAGGACAGGGGACTGGCTGGGTATCTCCCCAGGCTCCCATGTCAGAGCTGGTCTAAATGGGGCCTGTTCTGGCCCATAGGTGAGGGAGTCGTCAGGATGTCCTTGGAGTGAAGCCCCACAGTCCTGCAGTCCTCATGTGGCAGCCATTCTGCTGCTGGCTTCTGGCACTCTGCAACCCATCCCCTAGCTGCTTGGTGCCCCCCAAGTGTGACCTTAGCTCCCAAGCCTCACTCAGCCACTGAAGGGTCATGAGGAGCCATTTAGACATTGGCACCCCACTTTCCTCCCCTGAAACATCCCCCTAGTGGCGGTGCTCCATGGCCATCATCCATGACACAGCCCCTGCTGTTCTCCAAGTCACCGTGGGCCTTTCAAAGCTGCAAGAATCACCTGCCGGCCAGTATCCTGGCGGCTGGTCATCACCTGAGCCCTGTGCCTGCCTCACTCTGTTGTCATCAGACTGCTTACTGATGGGGCTGTGTTCTGGACCACACCTCTACAGAGGCATCGGGGTCCATAGCTAAAAACTGTGGCAGAGCAGGGCACGTGCAAGTTTACCATCTCTAGGTGGTCACTAGAGGGTACTAGGACTTGGTCTGAAGTTACCCCTTTAGAAGCAGTTGACCTCAGACACTTTTAGGAGCCACTAGCCCCACTCTCCTTCTGACCAACCTTTGACCCATTGGCCCAGGATGCCAGGTTCCAGGGCATAGCAGAGCCTCGTGCCAGCCTTCCAAAAGGAGGCAGTGTGCCCAGAGGAGCTGTCTGGATCCAACCTCAGCTTCCCCAGGGGCCCCAGGAAAGGAAAGTGGCGAAGCAGCTGAGGTCCTTCCTGCAGGAGGCCAGAGCCCCAGTGAAGCCCTCTTGCCCAACCTGCCGACTGGCCCACCAGGCACACAGACCAGGCCACATTCCCCAGCCTCACTGAGCGGGGAGGGACCATGGCCTGTCCACTCACCAGGGGACCTGGAGCCAGCTTCCCTCCCTCCTGCTGCCCATCTCTGCTCCACCCTCTAACCCAGCACCTTCCCCAATGAGCCTCCCTGGCCCTGATGTCCTAAGCACTGTTCTCCTCCAGGGCCAGCTAAGCCTTCCCTTGTCCCTTCTTCCCCAGAGCTGCCTGGACACACAGCAGCTGTGTTTCTGGGCTGATGATGGGTGTGTGTGTGTGTATTTACCACCTGGGCCACCGGCCGGGCCTGTCCACACCTGGGCAGACCTCCCGGGGGTCAGGGCTGTGCTGCTCCCATAGGCCCAGGCCACTTAGTTGTCATGGCTCAGGAACCCTGGAGGTAGCCTGAGGGCATCTCAGCAGGTCCTGATCTCACCATGTCCTTGCCTGCCCTCTGCCCGTCAGGGAGATGGCTGGGTGATGGGGCCATACAGCCCAGGTTCATGAGACACATGGTACACAGGCCCATGGGACACACAGGACACATGGGCCACACCATTGCTCCAAAACAGCCTCCAGGATAGTCTTCCCAGGGAGGGACATTAATGTGAGCCCCATGTGGTTATGAACACACGTGACCTGGCTCAGCAAACTCGCAGTGGGAAGTGGGGGACACCTCAGGTTGAAGCTGTTGCACCAGCAGCCTCCTCTTACTTTGGATAAAATCTGAGGTGGAGCCAAATGTCTGAAATCCTTGCAATGGAGCCTCCCAATGAGAATGGGGGGCTCAAACCACAGTTGGGATGAAGGCCACACTCCCAGGCCAGCCCCTCGTGTCCTTCCTCAAAGCTCACCACAAATCCACAGGGCAGTCAGAGCCAGAGCTCCCACACAGCTGCACCCCAGGCTTCCCGCTGCTCAGCGTGTGGGCTCAGTCAGGCTCTCATTGCTTTGTCTCCTCCACCTTGAAATCCCAGCAACTTTCCTCTTTAGCACAAAGCCGAGCCATCTTTCTGTTCAGGGGCCCATATGCCTATGCCCTGGAGTGTCCCTGGAGGGCGGTGTCAGCCCTTGCCTTTCCTGTCAGGCACACACTGCTGCCTAGAAAGGGCCTCTGGGTTCCCTGCTGTGAGGGGACAGGCAACCAGCCACCTAAAGGCCGAGCACCCAGAGCACGGAGGCCCTTGCCCAGGCTGGGCTCCCAGCACTAGCCCGGGGCTCCTCCTGAGATCTGGCCACCAGCTCTGGGCCCTGACGGGCAGTAGGGCACACATGCAGAGCAGCTCCTGTTGGGCTTGGCTAGGACTGGGTTGTGGGCGTCCAGGCCCATCCTTTTCGGGAAATACAAATGTATACAGAGGCATCAAAGAACAAAAAAGCGGGACTACCTGCTTCATCTCATCATCGGGGCAGGGGGGGAGAGGGCAGCACATCTGCCACACAGAGCCGTACTCTCCCCCAATCCCTTGGGGACCATCTTGACTTAGGTTCATGCACCCCCAGGGGTGACAGGCTGAAGTCACTGTTCCCATTTCCTGAATGAAGAGATTCTGTGGACCTGTCACAAGAGACAAAGGGCCTGACATGGACTCTTCCTATTGGTGTATCTTGACAAGTCCTGAGACACCTATGCAGGACAGGGTGCCCTGTCCCACCCAGGACAGGTGCAGGGAAGGCATTTCATCATGTCACAGCTGCAGTCAGCCGCTCATGGGGCAGGGGCCTTAAACTCCAGGGCTGAGGGGGTCCCAGTGCCTTGCACAATCAGCCTCGGGACCACATCTCTAGCAGCACTCCATGTCAGTCAGAAGCAAGGAGGGGAGGCTGGCCTCTCAGCAGAGCCTGGGTCTCAGCCAAGGAAAAGGGCAGGCAGCCGGGTGGGAACAAGGTGGGCTGAAACAGGCCCGTTTCCTCTGAGTGCAGCCCTCACAGCCACAGGTTCAGCCAGCTGCTGGGCCCCTCCTGGTGTGGGCTCCTCTCCAACTGAGGAGCAGAAGAGGCAGGAGCTGGCAGACTGTTCTGTGGACCTGCGCCTCCCGCAGGAGTCTGCTATCAAACCTATGGAAGCAATTAGAGAGGAAGGGTGGATGGGCTCACAAACAGGCCGCTGGGAAGTGCAAACAGCATCAATGTGGTATTTTTCTAGAAACTCTAAGCACATTTGGTGCATGGGTTTGTGGCACTGTGGTTTGTTCTCCTTGATTGGGTGAGTGTCCTGAGGCGGCTATAACAAAAACCACAACTGTGGCTTCCACCATGGGAATGGATCCTCCCACTGCTCAGGAGGCCAGAGGCCCAGGTGTCGGCAGGGCTGAGGGGAAGCCCCCATTCTGTTCCTGTTCTCTGGCTCTCCAGCTCCAGCAGCCCCCAGGAGCCTTGGCTCACAGATGTACCACTCAGCTGTCGGCTTCACGTGGCATTCTCCCTGTGCCACATATCTGTGTCCGAATTTCCCCTTCTATCAGACTGGGGCTGCCTAATGACCTCATCTTGACTACACTCACAAAGACCCCATATCCAAATAAGACCACAACCATGCGTGCTGGGGTTAGTACTCCAACATATTTTCAGGACAAATGCTTCAACTCCTAGGGTTATCTGTCAGTTCATTGTCAGCACACACTGAGTAGGGAAAGGAGGGAAGAACTGGGCGTGAGCTCCAGCGTGGAGCCTGACCCAGCCTGGGGACAGAGCCACTGGGCTCTGCTGAACATGGTGGCCAGCATGTCAGACCTGCAGTCAGTGGCTTCTACAGAGCCTGCCCTAGGCCTGGCCGAGTGTTGACAGGATTCCCAGGCCCCGGAGGTGCATTCTGGGGTCTTCCACATGCTCTTCTGGCGGGGCTGAGCTCCTCAGCTGGAAGCTACTGCGGAGGTTAGAGCCAGCTGAGATGCCTCTCCAGCAAATCTTGAGGATAGGCCTCATTGCTCTCTGTGTCCTGGTGGCTGGGCGAGCACGAGAAGCACAGCACACTGACCGAGTGAACTTGAGGCCACGTGTGCCAAGATTCAGACATTGCACTGAGGGAAGATCAGCAAATAGGATTGTCCTGTCCAGTCCATCACTATGAGAGAGAGCCACCCAACACATGGCTATTGAGTCTCTACAATAACCTGCTGGGGACGAGTGCAGAGAGGATTCGGTAGGGTGAGGAGCTGGGAACAGAGCTGTGGACCCAACAGACCCCTCCATTCAAGGCCAGGGCTCATCTGCTGATGCCTGACCTCTGTATCACATGAGAACAGTTCCTGCAACCTCACACATGTACACATGTATACAAATATTATATGTGCGCATGTACAAGAGACAGGTCTTCATACGTGCACATACAAGCATATACATATACTGACACATGTGCACACAGTGTATTCCTGTCCAGTCACCACTTGGTTCTCACCCTTCCTGCCCCAGCCCCCAGGAACCCTCTTCATCATCCAACATCACAACCCTAAGGTGTCCAGGCCTCCACTGCCTGCCTTATACGTTGTGTGAGGAGAGACAACGGTTCCTCTCAATACCCTGGTATCACATAGGATATGTCCACTGAACCTCTATTTAAGAATCAGTATCACCTCTAACAATCATGTCCCAAAGGAATGAGCAGCTGTAAGCAGTAGTGAGTTTTCCTTCACTGGGGGTGACCAAGCACACACTGCCGCCTATCTGACCGGTTGGTTGTTGGGAGCTGGAGATTTGGGTCCAAGTTTCCATGTGTCCATCACGTTGGGTAACCGTGAGATTGCCTCAAGTCAGGAATTCCCATCCATGCCCACACTCCCTCCATAAAAGCTCCACACACTGATACTGGGGGCCACAGTCACAGTGGCTGGTGCCCACAGTGCAAGGGCCATCTACTTAGGGCCTGGGACAGATGAGCTCCAGCTTCAAGGCCTGGTTCTGAGTACTATTCCAAGAGTCCTGATGCCAGGCTCACTCCTGGGCCTGGGACCTTCACACACACATATCTGCACTAGAGAGCACAAACAGGCTCACGCCTCTAACCCTCATGTCTGGGACCATGCAATATGGGGACTTGATGCTTTTCCATCTAGTCCGACAAGCATTACTGAACCTCTCTCTACTGTGGACCTGAGCTCATGTAACAAAGGCTGGCTCCCGTCTGGCTCAGGGGGGTGGGGGTCCCACACTGACAGCGATGGGAGGGGCAGCGGCCTGGCTCTTGGAAGCTGACGTCCCCAGGTGCCCATGGAAGCCTGCTGTGGTTTTTGAAGGAATGGTGCACCTCGGTTCCCTATGAGTCCTGCTCTGGGTGAGAGAGGGGGTGGTGAGAAGTGTATCTCCCACCGCAGGGCGGGGTGAGGCTTCACTGCCAGGCCTAGCAGCCCTTTGAGGACAGAAGGACACAGAGCAGAGCAGATGGGGGCAGCTGCACCCCCACCCAGGGCGGCACAGACATGGACAGGCAAATGCTGAGGTTTTCCTCTGTTGGTACCACTTGGGTCCCCACAGCCAAAAGTCAGTCTGTGCCACCAAAGGAGGGCAGTTCTGAGATGTTTGTAGGGATTGGAGACTTCCCTCCTGGCCCTTCGTTATGGCTGCCCCAGGAAGGAGTCAATGGCCCCTAACCCAAAGGTGCTCCAAGGACCCTGGGGTGCCTGGTGCATTTCCAAGATGAGATCAGCAGATTCTCCACAGGAGTGCCCCGGCTTCCCTAAATAACAGAGCGTCTCTCTGGGGATTAAGGAGGTCATCTGGGCCGGTGGCCACACAAAGGGTGGCTGGGTGCAGGACAGTATGGGCAAAGGGTTGGCCCAGGTATCTGCAATTGTTGTCTACATCTGGGAGAGGGAGAGGGAAGGAAGAGAGGGTATAAATAGAAACCTTTCGAGGCCCAGGAACAGGTGAATAAGCAGAAGGCAGTCACGTGTCCTCTGAAAGCCATGTGTGGCAGCATGGTGCCAGGCCATGGCCCACAGGAGGCTCACACCTTCTCCTGTCTGTGCAGGACCTGCCCTTCCACACGCCTTCATGGGGTACACACACCTCCAGTAAGGCTGGAAGGGTGGGCCCTGTTCCCAATTCAACCACTCCCCAGACTTTCAGAGCCTGTTTTCTCGTCTGCAAAACTGTGGGAATGTGAGACACTGTGTGTCACAGCCCTCCTCCCACTGTCTCTGCACGGGTTCTCCCACAGACTCCCTGCCGTGCCTACCACCCCCTCCAAGCCCGCGCTGTCCTTTCTCACTTCCTCTAGCCCAGCACCTGGGCCTTAAAAGACTCTGCTGGGAAGGCAGGCCTGCTACACAGCCAACGACACACCCTGTGGCTCTCAGGGGGCCAGCCAGGTGCTGTGTCCACTGCCCAGAGACTGCCCCATCTGACCTCTGAACTCTTGAAATGTCCACATCAAAAGGGACCAGACACCCAGCTCTTTGCTGCACTGAGGATTCCAAAGCACACTGAAGGAGGAACATGGCTGCCCAGAGACACAGACAAGCTGTTGCAAAGTGCACAGCTTTGCCCTCTTTGATTAAACTTCCTGTAACCACATATTAGAACCTCGGGATTCCAGAATTCCAGGCGGTGTCCTTTCTCCCACCATTTGAGTTTTCTGGATGCCTGGAGCCAACTCCTAAAGCACTGTCTCCAGGGGAAGGGGTCCACTGGAAAGGCTTGCCCAGGCCAGCGCACCCCATTGGTCACCACTATAGCTGATCAGGGCTTGTGCTTATCGATCTTACCGTGGCGGGTCTGAGCAGGAGGCGGGGCGGGTTAACCGGCTGGAGTCGGGGTTCTCCCAGGTTGGGTTCCGCGCAAGGTCCCACCCCCTGCGCACTGGACCCGCCTGGGCTTCCACCGAGCCCTGACCTCCGCCCTTTAGTCTGCGACCAGTGGGTGCGTCAGGCCCCAGGGGTCGACGTGACTCGCGGCGCGCGCCAGAGAGTCCCGTGGGCAGGACACGCCGGCCACGCGCTCCGGCCCCCACGCCGCGCATCTGTCCTGGGCGTGGCCCCGGAGCCCGGTCCCGCCGTCCCGCCCCGCCCCGCCCCGCCCCGGCCGCGCCCCGCGCTGATTGGCCGAGGCGGCGCGCTATGCTAATGAGCCTGACCCGGCCCGCACCTGCCGCGGCGCTGCGGACCCGCCTTCTGTGGATTCGCTAGCGGGACCTGCACCCGCGAGGAACCATGCCGCGCTCCTTCCTGGTGAAAACGCACTCCAGCCACAGGGTCCCCAACTACGGGGAGCTGGAGACACAGAGAGGTAGGCGCTGAGGGCTCCCCAGCCCCTGCCCAGGCTCAGGCTCCCGCGGGGCAGGAGGGGGAGGCCCCTGGGAGTGGGTGACATGTGTCCCAGGTAAGGAGGAGAGGCCGTAGCTCACCTGCAAGGCTGAAGGCAGGTAGGTTGCCGAGTCCAGCGGAGCGAGCAGGGATTCTCTCCCACTTAGATAGGTTTCTAGGTTCCCAATCATTCTGGGCTCCTCCCCTATGGCCTGGCGCGTTCATCCCAGATAGGAGATCCCGTAGTCATCTTCGTGGGGCAGGAGCTTTGGGAAGGGTCCCAGGAATGGTGGGAAGAGACTCAGAGGGCCGCCGGGGGCTGCCATCCAAGGGCTCCGGAGGAACATCCTGGTTTGGGCGGTGGCCGCAGGGCCCGGGAAGAGTGACCATGGGCTCTGTGGTGCCAAGGCCCAGCTAGTCCAGCGTTCCTAGTGCCTCCTCACCCCGCCTGAGGGTCTACCTCCGGCCTCTCCTTACCCCAGTGGAGGTTGCCCAGGGCAAGCTGGGCTAAGGGGCTGCCATCCTCTCCCCGGGAGGCTCGGTGGGGAGGTGGGAGTCCAGGACCCAGAACTGTACCCTCATTCCTGTTCCCTGCTGAGCAGAGGGACACGGGAGGTCCCAAGGCAAAGGCCTCTAGAGTTAGAGCTGTCCCCCAGCTCAGCAGCTTGTTGGGGTGGAGACCTCCGGGGGACTGCTTGGTGACTCAGAGGGGAAGCGGGAGAGGGGAAGCAGGGGCACTGTGGAGGCTCTCAGAACCCAGCGTGGGGAGTCTCTGACTAGTACCGAGGCAGGGATGCCACCAGGGGGCGCCTTCCAGGACCCGGAGCCTCCCTTCTGGGTCCTGAAATTAGAGTCACCACAGGCAATTTTTTTTTTTTTTAAGAACTTCCTAATCGCAGAGATCAGGCAGATCTTTTACATTCGGTAGTATTTACTGTTATATACACTACGGGACAGGGGTTTTTGGTTTGCTTTTTAAATATGTTTTTACTGATTTCAGAAGGGAGAGGGAGAGAGAAACATCAATGATGAGAGAGAATCATCGATTGGCTGCCTCATGCACATCCTCTACTGGGGATTGAGCCTGCAATCCAAGGCATGTGCCCTGACCAGAAATCAAACCGTGACCGCCTGGTTCATCAGTCAGTGTTCAAACTGGCTGGGCTTGATTTTTTAAAAATAAAACAGAATAGAAACCATCAAAGTGTGATGCTGCAGATAAAGGAAAGTGTTGCTTCAAGTATATATGATGGAAAATTGAATTTACATGGGCCATAATTTTAAAACTTTAAAAACCACTGTGTAGAGTACAGTCATACAGTGCACCCTCTTCACAATGTGAATGTGCAAATCTGGGCAACTCTGCAAGGCCCAGTGAAGGACTGTCCGAGAACAGCCTGGCAGCTCCTTGGCTCTCTCTGCTCCTCTCCCCCACCCCTCCTGTCCCAATCCGGGGCCAGAGATTCATTTAAACACATAAGGAATAAGTAATGGGTTGCGGGCTATTTGGAGATTTCAGCTTTGGGGAGATACAGAATTTAACTCTCATCTACTAACTAACCTGTTTACTTTGGGGGCCCACCACTCTGGGTCAAGGGTGGGGCATGCTGGCCCCCAAACCCAGGAGCAACAGGCTGAGGTCAGAGGACAGCTTCTCTGGACCAGGAGGCTGTGTGCACCCTGTCAGGGTATTGAGGAGTAATCAGGAGGTGACCAAAGGCTGATTATTTTACATGTGGTGGCCTACAGCCCAGCGCTCTGAGTTAATGCTGTGTGGCAGCCTGGGGATGCACTGTGAGCTGGTCCTGAGGTGGAAAGGGACTCAGAGAGAGGACCCATCCTGTCCAGCAGTGAGGGAGCCTTCCTTGGCCCCATGAAGGCTGTTTTGGGATTTTATAAGGTGTTTCTTTATTTTTGTTCTTAAAGAGAAACTGAGGTTCCTCCTCTAGACTCCTGGGCCGTCATCACTTCCCCAGCTGACACCTCCATCTTTCAGGCCTTTCCCTTCATGCCAAGCTTCTGATAGCCTAGAACCATGGTCGGCAAACTGCAGCTCGTGAGCCACATGCAGCTCTTTGGCTTCTTGAGTGTGGCTCTTCCACAAAATACCACGGCCTGGGCCAGTCTATTTTGAAGAAAGTGGCATTAAAAGAAGTTTAAGTTTAAAAAATTTGGCTCTCAAAAGAAATTTTAATCATTATACTGTTGATATTTGGCTCCGTTGATGAATGAGTTTGCCAGCCACTGGTCTAGAACAAGCATGTCAAACTCATGGCCTGTGGGCCACATACCTCATTTATTTGGCCCATGTTAGCTTTTGAGTTTGACATGTGTGGCTTAGAAGGTGAGCTTAAAATTAGACTCAAGATGGAAGAGAACACAACACTGGGACTGAGTTTCACCTTTCTATTCTCTCTCTTTCTGCCCTTCTAGACATCAATGGCTCCTGTTCTGCCTGTGGGGGGCTGATGGTGCCCCTCCTTCTCCCAGACAGGGCAGCCCCTCCCATTTCTGCTGATCCTGCCCAGCCCTGGGACCACACCTCTGTCGTCACCTGCATCTCCCTGCCCCTCCCAGAAGCTCGGGGGACCTCTGAGCCAGATCCCTTGGAAGTCAGCCTGATGGACCCTTGTGCTGGCCGGGCTCCCAGCGTACCCCTCAAAGACAGCCTGAACCACCTCAATCTGCCCCCACTGCTGGTTCTGCCCACACGATGGCCCCCAATTCTAGGCCTAGGCGGGGACCAGCCTCCAGACAGACTGCTGGGGGCTGAGCAGGCCCCCTGTTCCCCAGGGGGCTTCCAGTGCATCCACTGCCACAAGCTCTACCACACACTAGCTGGGTTGGCCAGGCACCGGCAGCTGCACTGCCACCTGCAGGCTCAGCGCTGCTTCACCTGCAAGTATTGTGACAAGGAGTACTCCAGCCTGGGGGCCCTCAAAATGCACATCCGCACGCATACACTGCCTTGCATTTGCGCCATCTGTGGCAAGGCCTTCTCCAGACCCTGGCTGCTCCAGGGCCACATCCGGACCCACACAGGTAGGACAGCGTCGGGTCCACAAGAGGGATCTGGGTGGGCGCGGGAGTGGGGCCTGGAGGTTAGGAAGAGGAGTGGGTCAGTTTTATGACCAAGAAGACAGACATCCTCACAGCTTTGGCTCTCCTGTGCATTTGTGTCTTGGGGCTGCAGAACAAAGCCCCACAATCTTGGGGGAGGGGCCTCAAAACACCAGAAATGTCCCCTCCCATTGTCTGGAGGCCAGAATCCCAAAGCCCAGGTGTTCCAGGATTGCCTCCCTCCAAAGGCACTAGAGGAGAATCCATCCTGCCTCTTCCAGATCCTGGGGGCTCCGGGCATATCTTGGCTTGTGGCCACATCACTCCGACCACTTCTTCTGACCTCGCGTGACCTCTCCTTCCTGTGTATCTGTGTCCCAATCTCCCTCTTGTTTTAAGGACACAGTCATATTGAATCAGGGCCCACACACTGCAATATGACCTCACCTTAACCTGATGACATCTGCAAAACCCCTATTTCCAAATATTCGTTTAGGACGTGGACGACTCTTTTTTGGAGGACACAATCCAACCCATAACACCCAGCTAAGAGTAGAATGCTTCAGCAGGATCTGATGTCTTTTTTTAAAAAAATATATTTTATTGATATTTCACAGAGAGGAGGAAGGGAGAGAGATAGAGAGCCAGAAACGTCGATGAGAGAGAAACATTGACCAGCTGCCTCCTGCACACCCCCCACCGGGGATGCGCCCGCAACCAATGTACATGCCCTTGACCGGAATTCCGCAGACCAACGCTCTACCACTGAGCCAAACCGGCTTCGGCAGGATCTGATGTCTTACGTTCCATGGCCTTCTAGAATTCTGGAACAGGAGGAGAAGGGAGCGATAAAGGCTTGGGCTGGGAGTAAGAACCTTAGGCATCACAGCCTATCTGAAGGGCAGAGATGACAGCTGAGACTTCACTTAGAACTTGGGGACCTGGAGCAAACTGTCCAGGAGTTAGAGGGTGGCCAGGAGCCCATAGGAATGGAAGGAGAGAAGGGCAGTTGTGGAGAAAAGACAAAGGCAGAAGCAGAAAGGAAAGGGACATGGGCAGGGAGCTGAAGGAGAACCTCAGCATGTCATGCCATAGATTACAACCTACTGCCAGAAAGAGCGGAAGGGGCCTGCTCTGTACAGGGGCGGCCAGCAATGAGGTGCACCTCAGCCTGCAGCTCCGCCAGGAGCCTGAGACTTTGTCAAGCACACAGGGCAGAGTGGGTGACCGGAACAAAGAAACAGAGCTCCCAGAATAAGCTTTTGGTCCTGATCGCAGACCCCCAGTTGCAACACACACTTTCTGTAACCAGAGCCTCCCTAATCCTAAATCATGGCCGGGCCCATAGCTAGAATCTTCTGAGTCATACCTGGATGGAGGCGGGGAAGGGTGTTATGGGAAAGGAGCCGTTTTCCTTGACCCTTTGTGAGGATGTCACACATCTCAGAGGCTCGGTGCTCTTGTTCTGGGAACCAGGAGGGTGGGAGTCCCTGCCGGAGGCTGGCTGGCAGGGAATGAGCCCGGGTGTCGGGCAGTGGAAACTGCAGGCTGGTGGCTCCCAGGGCTCTGTAGGGCTGCAGGACTAGATGCTGCTCTACACGAGCAGAGAACAGGTGACTCTCACACTTTTCAGAATCATCCTAGGGGCCAAGGTCCCAACAGTAGGACTTTGTCCAAATCCTGGTGGCCTGGAGGATCCAAGGATTTTACCATTCCTAGATGCCTGCCTCCTCCCAGCCCACCCTCTGTGGCAGCTGAGCTGGTCTCCACCACGGGCTTTTGGTGGGAGGTGCAGCAGCAGAAGGTGCCGTGCTTCTCGCGTCCAGATCTGGGTGGCAAAGGCCCCAGGAGAGCTCAGGCAGGAACAGAAAGACCTAGCAGCTGCGGTAGATGTAGCAAAGAGCATGCTGGACCTTTGCTCTTGGGAAGGGTTAGGCATATCATTCCGCCCAATCCCCAGCGGCCCCAACGTAGGTGCTTGTGTGGCCTCCTGGCCTTAGTGTCTCCTCCTGGGTCAGGGGCTAGGGCTCCTTTCACTATGTCTTAGAAGGGGGGAGGGGGTTGACAATCAATGACTTGGAATTGAGTAAGCATTGGAGTTATTCACTTATAAACACAGGAACCTTGGGGCTGACTCCCAGGACACCCCAGATAGTCACTCACCCGCCTGCCCGTCTTCCTCCCCCAGGTGAGAAGCCTTACGCCTGCTCTCACTGCAGCAGGGCCTTTGCCGACCGCTCAAATCTCCGGGCCCACCTGCAGACACACTCGGACACCAAGAAATACCAGTGCAAGAGCTGCGCCAAGACCTTCTCCCGCATGTCGCTCTTGGTGAGGCACGAGGAGTCTGGCTGCTGCCCCGGTCCCTGAGAGGCATGGGTCTGGTGCTGTAGGAGGGATGAGACCTCACCCAGAGACATCACGGCTGGCGACCCTCTTGGCAGCCTCGTGCTGCCTGGTGTGCTCAGAGGAGCTGGGCAGTCCCGGAGGACAGGAGCCCAGCCTCTCACTCTCAGGTGCATTCCCTGCACACCACAGCCAGAACAGCCCAGCCATCAGGGTGTGCCAGGGCCCGTGGAGGGTCTCCTGCCCACTCTGCCCACTCAGAGGGGACGACTTTCAGCAAAACAAGAACCACTGTTTTGTGTTCCACTTGCTCTGGTTTCAGCTTCTGTGTCTCTAAGCATTAGAGTGTTGGGGGACTGTCGACAGCATGGGCTGTGCCTGCCATTAAGACAAGGAATGGGGCCTTCGGATCTCTCCGCAGCTCCACGCGAACAGTCTGCCCTGTGCGAGCACACTCACAGTCCAGCCTGCATGGGCAGAGCTACCTCAAGGCTCACCTCCCTCTGCCTTTGGCTTGGGATCTGAGCCCCCGCAGCCTCATGTTGCACATGCGCACACGCCCTCCCCATCTCCCTAGACTGGCCCTCAGGTGGAGCAGCACCAGGGGGAGCAGGAGCTAGGCCCCCTTCCCCATCGTGGGGCAATAAAGAGTCCACGTGCTCAGGCCTGTTATGTCCTCTGAGGTTCTGCGTGTTCCCAGTCCCCTGCGTCTGAGCTCTGAGAAGTTATTCGGAGGCGGCCGGACCCAGCCACCAAGGAGCAGAATGGGGATCAGGGCATGGGGCTGTGATGCTGTTCTGGGACGGGGAGTGAGGCTGCTGGAGGAGGCAGGGTCCAGGTAGCAGGGGTGTCTTCTTCTGGAAGAAAGAGACGAGTGATGGAACAGTATCAGACCAAGGACTGGCTGAGGGGCATGACCTCGGGCTGGGGATGAGTGAGGGCTTGCTAGAGAAATGTGAGGAAACCAGGCCAGAAGAGAGGGCTGGGGTGGGCCGTGAGCGCTGCATGGCTGGCGTTCATTTCCCCCACGGTCTACGTCAGGAGAGAGAACCACGCTGTACCTGCAGGCCTGTCCGCGGTCACCACAGGGTATCTTCGCTGTGCCACCTCACCAAGGAGCCGTGTCTCCTCACCTGCCCACAGGCTGTCAGCTTTGTTTCCTACATCTTCTTCTTCTTTTTTAAAAAATATATTTTGCCGGCACCGGTTTGGCTCAGTGGATAGAGCGTCGGCCTGCAGACTGAAAGGTCCCGGGTTCGATTCCGGTCAAGAGCATGTACCTGGGTTGCGGGCACATCCCCAGTAGGGGGTGTGCAGGAAGCAGCTGATCAATGTTTCTCTCTCATTGATGTTTCTAGCTCTCTATCCCTCTCTCTTCCTCTCTGTGAAAAATCAATAAAATATATTTAAAAAAAATAAAAATATATATTTTATTGATTTTTTACAGAAAGGAAGAGAGAGGAATAGAGAGTTAGAAACATTGATGAGAGAGAAACATAGATCAGCTGCCTCCTGCACACTCCCTACTGGTGATGTTCCCACAACAAAGATACATGCCCTTGACCGGAATCAAACCTGGGACCTTTCAGTCCTCAGGCCAACGCTCTATCCACTGAGCCAAACGGTTTTGGCTCCACATCTTCTCTTGAGGGGCAGGCATCTGTGACCTGACTGTGTGGCCCAGACCTCTGACCCCGCCCTGGACACACAAACCTTCCCAAACCGACTCAGATGCTAACACATAAGAACCTCCTCTCCCCGCCCAGTGTCCTGTACCCATTGCCCCAACATGGTGGCGTCATTGCCTTCTCACAGGTGGACTCCTCTCACCCCCAGACCTCCAGGTGGTCACCTGTTGGGCTGGTCCTGCCTCCTGCCAGCGTTCTTCACCATCTCCAGCAGGACCCTGGAGGGAAGGCAGCATCCAGGACCGAAGATGGAGGCCTGAGTGTAAGGGAGTCTGAGTCCTTCATGTTGGGAGGCACATGCTGCTCCAGGAAGGACAGCCTGCCGTCCCAGCCAATGGAGAGCGAGGCCCCTGGGTCCTGGGTCTGGAATGGAGCCACTCAGCATGTACAGAGCCTCCCTCCTCCGCACCCCACCCTGAGTCCTGAGCCACCAGACTTCTGAGCCTCCTCTGCATGGGAGAACATTCAGGAGCATTTACCAGGACACACTGGGTGCCTCTGCTGCAGTCCCAGCCATGATGGCCCCCACCATAGGTGCCAGCTGGTGCTCCTCAGGGGATGAAGGGCCCTGGATGGTGGGTTTGATGATGCCCATTGGAGGCGTCTTGGGTCATCCCAGAGGAAACTTGACCTTGGTCTTGGGCTTCTTTGGACCGAGGTGACCTTGATGAAGCAGACCACCCAGGGGAGCCCCTTCCTGGCCTCTACCGGACTGTCTCAGCCAGTGGACTGAAGATGTTTCTGAGACTGGGGAAGTCCTACTTAGCTAATGTATGAGTTTGCTTCGGCTTCTGTAACAAAGTCCCACACACTGGGCAGCTTAAACAATAAGAAATTAATTTTCCCATGGTCCTGGAGGCCAGAAGTCTGAGTCAGGGTGTCAACAGAGCTGGTTCCTTTCAGCGTGGAGGAGACTGTCCAGGCCTCTCCCAATCCCGCTGATCTGCTGACAATCTTTGATGTTCCTTGGTTTGTAGAGCATCACCCCACCTCTGCCTCCCTCTTCACATGGTGTTCTCCCTGCCGGCATCTCTGTGTCCAAATTTCCTCTTTTTGTAGGAAAACCAGACATATTGGGTAAGGATCCACTCTGGAAAGTGGATCCTAACTACCTCTGCAATAACCTTATTTCCACATTCTGAGGTACTGGGGGTTAAGATCTCAACATATAAATTGAGGGGACACCATTCATACCCCAACAGCTGGCAACACAGGGTTTGCCAAGAGATGCCAGGTGGGTCCTGTGCTTGGGCTTCAGGCAAGGAGAGTCGAATCCTGTTCTCCCCAGGCCACAAAGAACCGAGGGGCAGAGGGGACTCTTACTGACAGCATTACTATAAACACCTCCTCTGAAGGTTTGTGTCCCCCTGCTCAGTATCTGGCCCTTCCCTAGTGTCTGTGTCTATCCCCCTCCTCCTCTCCACCATCCTGTCAGGGGCCCTGTAGAGCTGAGAAACGGCCTGTGTCCCAACAGGACGATCCTGACCCCAAAATGTCTCTTGAGGCGCCTGGCCCTTCTGCCTCGCCCCAAGCCTGGCAAAGGTGAATGTTTCGGCCAGCGGGTGTGCTGTGCCCGGCCAGCTCACAGGAGGCTTTTAAAAAAATAGCATCCAGATGCCTGAGGAAGCTATATTGTAAATTGTGTTCTATTTCTGGGCTCCAGTGTCTAAATGGAGCGATGCACCTGTTGGGTATGAAGGGAGGGAATTTCACAGGCCTAAAATAAAGTCAAATGTTGCCCTTCTGTGCCGGCCCATGGAAAATGCTCTTATATTTATATCTGGGCTGGTGTAGGGCAGGGCAGTGGAGCATCGGCTGGCAGAGCGGTGAGGAAAGGCCCGGGCACCTGCCAGGAAACTGACACGGGATGAACGGGGGTGGGGGGGGGATGTCCCACTCAAAGCACCGCGGCTACAGTCCTACCTCGAGGCCACCACGTCTCCCACCGGCCACACTGCCTGCGGCAACCTTGGGGCTCACAGCTTCCACCCTGCCCTTCTCCCTGGGTCACTTAGCCTGAGCATTGGAATTAGTTCAGATGCCCATTTAACATTTGGGTTTCTGGAGCCCTCTCTCCACACCTACAGAATGAGAATGAGGAAAGGGCCTGAGGCTTGTTCATGTTCATTCCCAGGTGATGTTGGCACGGCCAACTCTTCTCGGGGGACTGCCATCGGGCCCCTTCCTACTCAGATATTTACTCATCACACCCCACCTTCTCCCTAAAGGAAGCTTTTTTTTTTTTTTAATATATTTTATTGATTTTTTACAGAGAGGAAGGGAGAGGGATAGAGAACTAGAAACATCAATGAGAGAGAAACATTGACCAGCTGCTTCCTGCTCACCCCCTACTGGGGATGTGCCCGCAACCCAGGTACATGCCCTTGACCGGAATCGAACTTGGGACCCTTCAGTCCGCAAGCAAATGCTCTATCCACTGAGCCAAACCGGTTTTGGCTAAAGGAAGCCTTTTGATCACACTATCCCAGCATGTGGTCGGAGCCTCTCTCTAAGACAGGAGCTGGGATCCATGGAGTTGGAAGCAGATGCTGTCACTGCAGCCTGGTTAAATCTGAGCAAAAGCAGGAGCCTAAGAAATCAAGAGGATTCTAGACAAGAGCAAAACCAGGGAATGGGCTCTCCAAGTTTGGGGCCAGCAGCTTCCCAGCAAGAACAGCGCTCCCAGGGTGGCACAGGTGGACAGGGTGACACCACAGTGCCCAGGAGAGAATGACTGAGCACCGCAGGCCTGCTCTCACCTGACTCACAGACATGAGTGCCTGCCGCCCTGAGCCCCAGCCCTGCAAACAGCTGTGAGAGGGACACCCCGTCTCAGAAGCTGGGTCCGTCACCCCACTCCCTGTCGAAAGAAACCCCTCTTGAAACTATAGCCACACTAAGCTTATGCCTTCCCTTCCAGACCCCAGAGGGCTCTATAAATATTATTTTGGCGCTGGATATTTGGGGGTTCTCTGAAAATAGCCCACTTGTTACTATCTATACTCAGAGAACCCACTCTTGGCCTCCAGTTGATAGCTAAGTATAGCTCCCTGGCAAAGTTCAATGGAACAAAAGTTTCCAGGCCCTCATCACCTTGTGGATGGAGGAACATTCCAGCTGCCAAGGCCCAGAGGAGCTCAGAGAGAGGCTAGACCTGGTGGGGGGCTTGGGGACACCCTCCCTCTCCTGCTGGAGCTGAGGGGCCTGCAGGGCTCCTGGCAGACAAGGGTGTCCATGCAGGTTCAAGGGAGGCGCTCTGATCCCAGGGATGTCGCGGTTGAGCCAACTCCATTAGGAAGCCTTGGGTTCTGTCTGTAAAAAGCAATCCTGCTGACC